AGAACACCTGGAGTACATTTTGGCCTGTACACAGGAGCCGCCCAGTCGTCCACCCCTCGCGTTCCTCTCATTTGGCAACAGCAACACAGAAAAACATTTTAATAATAAAGGGGAACCTTTGTAAAATAATGCGTTGGCAGGGGCAACATACATTGCTATGTTTACAGTGGTCGCAATATATGCGTCTAATGAACAAATAATACAAAGAAATAGGCACATTAGTTCCCATCGGAGGTCATCTCGAACCAAAAAAATATGTTTCAAGGCTGACAAGATATCTCATAAAAAAAAATTACTCTTATATATACGACGATGGACAGTGTTTGCTACAAAAGTTGTATGTTCTCTTTCTTTTTTCAAGTGACTCTACAGCTTATTGTGTCTAGACGATGGGCACACGAGACCGACTACTGGACCAGGGGTCCCGGTCGGACCACGTCGGTTCCGCTTGACGGATCATCGGCGAGCCGTCTGTCTCTGGGCCCCTCTCCGGCGGGGCCCTGCGGGGCAAGCCAGGCGGTCCAGATGAGATTTAGACGGCCTAGGTTATTTAGTGGTTCTCTGAGCGGGCCCTTGCGGGGCCCTTGTGGGGCTGCGGGCCCCCCTGAGGGACGCCTCCACCCCGGGCCCCGGGCTGCGGCCAGTAAAGTGCACGGCCGTGGAGTTTATGAGCGCGTCTCATCCCCTCCTCCCTCTCACCCAGGCCCTTCCCCTCTCCTCTCGCTCTCCACAGCGCTCCGCTCTCTAGCGGCAGCTATCATGGCGAGAAGCTGTGCAGCACAGGCGGGCCGCTTATTTGATTCCCCGGACGATTGTCTTAAAGCGTCCTCTTCCTATCTTCGAGGCGTTTGTACGTGCGGGGTCTTTCCCCCAAACGTATCGTTCCACTTTCAAAACCGGATGTGGGCGTTGCCGCGCTGCCGCCGTCCAGCCGACCGGAAGTCATCCTGGCCGCGCTGCTCCGTGCTGATATACGGCCCCGCGGCGGCGATGACGTTCGGTAATAAAATCTTCCTCAGCCTCTGGTCCGCCTTCCTCCGCCAGGTCGTGAAAGATACGGCCCACGAGAGTCCTCGGCGAGGGAGGGGGGGGGGAGGAGGCGGGGCGTTCCTTCCTTCCGGTCTCGAGCTGCCGGAAGTGTGAGGTGGGCGGCGGGGCCGCCTGCGGGCAGGGGCCCCGCACCTTGTCCGGCAGGGCTGCTCGGCACCGGCGCCGCCAACACCGCAGGACACACGGTTCTGCGTTGCGGGTGACATAAAAGGGTCGAATGTGGCACCTCCTTCATGTTGACAGCCCTTGGGGTGATCCTCTTGAGCTTTGTTACGCTGCCCACCTGTGTGTGAGTTCGGGAAGAGAACGGGAACTTCGTTTATATATCGCCGGGTAAGTGTGACGGATCGTCAGCGAGAGCCAAGGCTGCACGCAGGGGTTAGCAAGGTACAGTACTTAGAGTTAGCGCACCGCGGAGTGACGGCGTGCACCTCGAGCGCAGGCCCGCAAGCTGTCCGGACCACTCCAACAAGAAATGGAGGATCACGACGATGAGCTGGAGGAGTACCGTGAGAACGACGTTTTGGGCTCCGTGGTGGAGAGCGCCTGGGAGGTAGGCCGCGCAGCGCGTGGAGGCGCCCCCGTGCAGCGGGCGGCCTACCCCACGGTCCGCAGGCGCCCGGCTCACTCCTCCGGGCAGTGGCCCGCGCCTATCTGGGCTCAGTGAGACGTCTCCTCCGGGCAGTGGTCCGCGCCTACCCCGGCTCACTCGGGCATTTCCTCCGGGCCGTGGTCCAGGCCGAGCGCCTCGTCGTCCTCGCCGGGGCGCGGCGGCGCGCACGCGGGGCACTCGCCGCCGCCCGCCGCCCAGCAGTCGCGGCACAGGTACAGCGGCACGTGGCCGGCCGGCGCGCAGCTCCACCCCGGGGCCTCGTCGCGCCGCTCCCGCTCGCCGCAGACAGCGCACGACCGGCGCGCCGACCGGAGCCTCTGACACGGAGGAAAGTCTTTTCAGGGCAACCAGTTTTCCGTTTTAAGAAATTAGAAGAATATATATATAAGGTGACGACGGGTCAAGCTATACCAGTTCATTGCAACGTCGCAGATAACGTTTGTTTCCATGTGGGGTAAATTGTTCTCAAAAGATTAGATATTGTAAATCACTGGTAGCTCAGAGATTCGTGATAAAAGTACCCGGCCTCCTCAATGATTTAGGTGATCCCTTATCCTACACATGAACACGCACCACGTCAAGGCCTGCTCACCCAGAGAATCGTCTTTTTGAAACAACAAAAGCTAAGTTTGAAGAATCAAAGAAATTGTTGTTTTCAAATATCCAAAGAAACAGGTTTCAAACAACAAGATTATTTGATTCAAAGCCAATTGGTTTAAATTGAGAAAAACATTTTCTCACTTAAAGAATAGGCAGACCTAAATCAGCACAATTCAATTATACGAAAGGAAACAGTTCTTCAAATCAAGACCCCTTGCTTTATACCCATGCCCATTAAGTAAATAAAAATAGTTTGCAAAAACTTGTCTCAAAATGTTCTTCGTTATAATGGAGCCTTTGTTGAATCTAAAACCTCTCGTAAAAAAAAAACTTGAAATGCATTAAATCATAATAAAAGGATTCTGTGGGTGGTGTCTGCTCACCAGGAGCCAGCCTCGGAGGCGCGGCCAGCGGGCGACGAGCGCGGCGGCGAGCGCGTGCTGCAGGCCGTGGCGCTGCTCGAGCCGGCCCTGCGCGGCCAGCACCCGCACGCGCGCGCGCATGCTCCTGGCCAGGCCCCAACGCCGGCGCAGGGCCTCGTTGTAGAGGCGCAGCACGCGGCGCCGCTCCCGCCGCGGGTAGAAGTAGGCGCACACGGCGCGGCTCAGGCGGCCCAGCCCCGCGCGCAGCAGCAGCAGCAGCCACAGCAGCGCCAGCACCGCCGCCACGCGCGCGCCCGCCGTCCAGGGCAGCCGCCGCGGCCGCGGCAGGCACGCGCGATTGGAGTGTCGCTGGTTCACGGCCTGCACGGTCGTTAGTTTGGGAGACATGGCCATTAG